TTAGAAGAAGGTGTCCGGAATGCATTTAGGTAAAATTGGATTGAACGGAGAGATGGTAATGGGGATACCATCGGCACATGGTGCAAGAAAATAAATGTTGCTGGACAAGCATATTGTGTTTTTTGTAACTCACTGCTGAAGTATGGTGGGGAAGGATTCAAGGCTTTCACAAATCATTCTAAAACTGTGATGCACATAAAATATTCAAAGTGCATTAGACATTCAATGATGAAGTAATTATGCTAATTCAAAAAATACTGATGACTTACTGGAGACTGATGCTCGGCCATTGGATATAGTGACAAGAAAAGCACGCCAAGAGGTATTAATAACTTCGTTTATCGCCGAGAATTCTCTTTCTTTCAATGTAGCTCCCAATTTAATTGAACTCTGCAAACAGTTGAGCCGCGATCAGACGGCACTAAACTCATTAGAAATGTCCAGGACTACTGCATGTTATAAGATGAAATATGGGCTCGCAAAAACTATTAAGGAAAATATCATTAAAACTTTAAAAGAGACTCCATTTTCTCTAAATTTGGATTATTAAAGTACTAGCAATGCTCAAGAAAGTATACTGGCAATATTGGTGCAGTTTTATGACAACAATCAAAATGAAGTTGTAGTTCATCATTTTGCATCTCTAAAGATGGAATCTTGCAATTCAGAAGCTGTTTTTAAAGCAGTTGTTAATACTATTGAAGATAATAATATTCCATGGGCAAACTTAATTAGTGTATTAATGGACTCATGTAACACCATGCGTGGAAAAAAAAAAGGGTGTTTGAAACCAGACTACGATCAAACAAAGCACCTCACTTATTAGATATTGATGGTGACACATGTCACACAGCTAATAACTGTGCAAAAAAATTTGCTTCATGTTTTGATAGATACTTAGAAGATTTGTTTGATGACATCTATTTTGATATGGAAAGCTGCAATAAAAGAGAAAATTTTTTCAAAATCTGTAAATCCCTTGCCATTAAAAAACTTAAGCCCTTGAAGAGACCAGACCATAGGATATTTTAGCTCACAAAGGATGCTTTAGCTTGGAAAAAAAGAATACTAAATGGGTTATTGTTATGCAAAACAAAACTTTATTGCATATGGCATTATATTCAGCAGTATTACCAGAGTTCAACACATATATTAAATTATTTGAAACAAAAAAAAAAAAAAAAAAAAAAAACAATGCTTCATTTAATACATTCCAGTATTTATAAATTGATGGCAAAATTTTTCTCTTTTTTTATGAAGCCAGAAAATATAGAGTGCACATCTTATAATGATTTATTAAAGGTTGATGTCACAAATCCAGAATTCTATCTATCTAGCAAAGTAATATTTACTGGTGCAGAAGCTTCCACTCTCCTGAAGAAATTATCAAAAAATCATCCAATAGCAAAAGAATTCCAAATTTATTTGATGAAAGCTTATACTAATACAGCACGGCATATGAAACAGAAATTACCCCTTAAAAATTCATATCTAATTAGTTTTACAGCATTAGATCCAGAGCATTTACAGCATTAGATAAGAGGTAAAACCAGTACAATATTAGCTTTTGAAAAATTATGGTCTTTTATGTAACATATTTTTAGTGATAATGAAAAGTCAAAAGTAGAAGCTGAAATAAGGTTATACCAGAGTGATATTGATATCACCAAAGAAATTCTGTACACATCTGATGAAAGTGGAAATCAAGTCAAGTGTACAATTGATAAATATTGGTCTAAAGTTTTTAATTTAAAAGATGATTTCACAAATGATTATAAGTATCCTACATTGGCTAAACTGGTCAAAGCCTGCCTTAGCTGCTTCCGTGGCCCGTTAGTGGAAAGTGCATTCAACTTAATGGATACACTTGTCACTGACTATAGAACCTCTCTTAAGATTGATTCCCTAGATGCAGTGCAGACTATTAAATATGAATTCAATATTTAATGGCTTCTAAAGAAACCTCATGGGAAAAATATGGCTCAAAAAATCCAATGACTGATCCAGTTCACAAAGATCTCTTACTGAATATGAAGAGAAGTTGGAAAACATATCAAGAGGACTTAAAAACATGTATTTCAGATGAGTCACCTATAAAAGTCTCTGAAAAACCTTCTACATTAGCAGAAAAGCAAACTGCTTCTACCTCTGCATGTGCAGTTCTCGAGGAAATTTCTTCAACTGTAAATGAGGAAAATAAAAGTCAACCTTCCTGCAATTATGAAGTTCACCACAAAAGAAAGACAAGCCCACAAACATCAGAAAATAATAATAAAAAAAAAGCAGCAGAAATTAGATAATTTTTTTTAAAGAATTAATTCAGGTAATTTAAAATATTTACATAAAATGTAGTAGTTTATATGTTTGAAAATTTATGGTTATTAATTTTGCAAAAAAAGTAATTCATTGAACTTTTATAATTAGGTCATTCAATACTTCATAATTGTAATTTTTCATTTCTCTCCCCCCCCCTTCTCGAAACTCCAAAATGTCGGTAGTAAGTCCGTAAAAGTTTCAGGGGATTTTTTGGGGTCCCACAAACACCCCTGTAAATGTATGTTCGTGAAAATAGAGACTAAAGTAAGTAAATATACAAATGCACTTAATAAAGGCTGTTTATGACAGATACAGTCAAAAGTCTTTAATCCGGACTCGTCAGGACTTCGGCGATTCCGAATTATCGATTTTTCCGGATTATAGATCATCAGTTTAAATCTGGTAAGATGGCATGCAGAAATTATAAAATTTAAAATATGAAACCGTAATTTATAAAATAATGAGCAATCATGATCTAAAGGGTATCAAAATTTACAAAAAAAAAAGCTTAATATTTATTTGTTTACTTTATTAAACATTTCTTTTAACGCGCGCATGCGTAAAGCATACATTATGCATAGCCGAAATTAGAAAATTGCAACCAGAAAATTATTTGATTTGTATTCATGATATTTATAATGACGAGGAATTTGATTTAATTTTATTCTATCTATTTTATCTGCACCAGTAATCTATTTATAATTTGATTTAAATCATATCAAAGACGAAGTACATCGAGATGAAATACTACATTTAATAAGGAATTATAAGCTGAATAAAATAAAAACATCTGCCCTGAAGATAACGATAGTGTTGACAGATCAACTTCCAGTTCATTGCGCGCCGCCACGTCCCCCCCCCCGCACAGAGCAGCATGAAATTGATAAACAGATTTCGGAACAGTTAGATAAACAAAGGATAGGCCTTTATCCATTTTTTGGAGCAATTCCACTTTTTGTTTGATGGACATTGAAACATACTTTCGTTTTCGTAGATCCTTTGGGAGCTCCAGCATCGGAAATTCTATTTGACATAATCGAAAGTTCAAGCTTACTTTTATAAAATTGCTCTTACAGTCTGCAAAAAGTAATAAGCCGGATCCAATTTGAAGATTAAGGAACAACACAATCGTCAACATTAACTGAAATAGACAATTAGATAATTATAGCTTATACTGTCCGTTATACATTAAACACGCAGCGGAAACGTATTCTGCGCTTGTGCACATGCAAATGCGCAGTCGTAAAGGTCTTACACGCGTGCTTAAACGCCTATGCGCATGCGTAGAAAGTTTTTAGCTTTGAGGTCCGGATTATAGATCATTCCGGGTTATGGGTGTCCGAATTAGCGACTTTTGACTGTATGAAAACCCATTCTGGTCAGAGGATTGATATTACACCGTGTGCACTACAATTTCATATTCAGAAAGATACGGGTATTACCAAAATGTAAATCACAACTTACATACTTTATCTTTCAAATTCATGTATTTTAAATTAATTATTAAAAGTATTGGAACTACTCTTATATGCACCCTCAGGTTGCCAAATTTTTCGCCAAACATTTTTGGCGAGAAACTCCAAGCTGTCATATTACTATCTAAATTTTTTGTCTACATTTCGAACTTTAAGCCTAAAATGTCTCCAAAAACGCGGTTTTCGCACATGCAAAAACTACGTTTTGAACACACAATTTAAGCTAAAAATCCGAAACAAAAACAAAAAATTTAGATAGCAAAAATGTAAAGTTTCTAACCAAAAATATTTGACAAGAATCCATGTACACAGCGATATGTTTTAACTTAAAAAAACATCTACGAATTGCACAATCTAGGCAACGAATAAATCTATGAACTACGCACACCTCGCTTTAATAAATTAAAATAACAACAATAAATTTCGAGAATACCGTGTACACAGTGTTCTGTTTAAACTTAAAAAAAATTGTGAATTGCGCGCGCACTATCAACAAAATAAACTAAAATAATTTTCAAACAATTAAAAAAAAACCAACAATAACGACAGAAATTCATACTAAAAAAAAACAAAGAACATAACATTCTACAAAATAAGAACAAGAATAAAACAAAATGCACTTACCATAAATGATTGCTTCTTCGAACAGCAGAAATACCAATTTCAAACATCACCAAAACAATTTCACCACAAATTTGTTAAAAGCATCTTCTCCCGTTTCAGAACAACGATGGAAAAATATATAAAACTCCAAATCGCATTTCCGATTATAAGTCGGCAACGTCGCTTTAACACGCTGCCACATAATCTATTATGGCATCGTAATCTTAATTTATTATTTATATGACAGCCAGACTCACTATCCACAAAGTTGATACTATGTTTCACAAATTAATGTTCGAAACCTTCTTCTCCTAAGTACTTGTAGAATTTCCAGCCACCCGAAAAAATAGTTGTACGTGACTAAAATTTTGCCAACATGTCATAAATCACTTAATTACCAAACAAACCAACTAGCAAATCCAAGTTTCCGTGTAAAAAGGGTTGCCATAGAAACCAACATCACCCGAACACTCAATCATGCCAAAAACCAGCGCACAACACATATCGCCACATTTGCTGAAATTAGGGCGCATGTAAGAGTAGAGCGAAAGTATTGATTAAAATTAATTTATATATAACATTAATGTATATGTTTTTTATTTACAGCTTCACTGTATAAATTGGTATATTACCATAAATATGCAGCTGTACAACAAAACTTCAATGTGGAGAATCGGCCTGACAGTGGATCTGATACTGAATATGAAGAGGAAAAAATTAAAGATATTTCTGAGTTAAAAGTTAAAATATTAGAAGCTGCAGTAAATTTTGTTCCGGAATATGGATGGAGTAAAAAGTCTTTGGCACATGGTAAAAGCATATATTTTTAACTTAGATACTGCATTTGTGCATGAAAAAATATAATTTAAAGAAAGGAAGAAATGGGGGGGGGGAGGGGACATTGATGTAATCCTAAAAAAAAAAAAAAAAAAGGGGGTATTTTCTGATAATGTGCATTTCTACTGAAATGTCGCGAAGTTGTTTGCAACTACTTTTTTGCCATATTAATGCATGAAAGGCAACAACCGTTTTCAGAACTGCAGCATTCTAAGAATTCCATAAAAGAGTAGTCCATCATTAAAATATAAAAATCTGATGTGCGCACCATATTACTTCCTTGTTCATTATATGCTTTGTTTGCTGCACATCATTTAAACTTATTTCCTCAAATTATTATATTTTAATTAATCTAATTCTCAAGGCAAATTGAAAATGATATCGAAACTGCAAATTTTAAATTAAATCTCCCATTTTATTTTTGTCGTATGAGAATCACACTTCTCGTAATTTTATTTTTTCATAACGAGTATAAAACTTTCCTAAATATAAGTATAAACACTGGGAGACCACATTAAACATTGGATTTTTGTTATTGTCAGAAATTAAATTTATTTTTGAATGTGACATTATCAGAACATGCACATTTTCATCATTTAAAAGACTTCTGTAACAGAAATTATGTGACTACAACCAACGATTGAGAAAATAAAGGCCAGGTAAGGACTTTTAAGCTGAGTAAGGGGTGGGCATGCGTATATTATATATGTAAGATAAAAATTGTTTAAATAAAAAATAGCCTCTTAATTCCTCATTTTAATTTGGGTATTTTCCTTCTTTATTCTAAAAATAGTAATACAGTGCAAAGTCCGAAATCCAGATATCCAGTATCTGGAATGATCTAAAATCTGGACCTCAAAGCCACCAACAACCTTTTTTTTTAAGGAAATTTCTTTCTGTATGCCTTACACATGCATATTTTATTTTTTCCTTCCCTCATAATAAATCATGTCGAGAGTCCGATTCTTAATTTCACTTCCGCACTAAATAAAATACCTCGTTACTGAAGAAACAATTAATTATATTAGCATAAATTTGTGAGATCAGTAATTTGGCTCCATAGCTGCACATCTGCTTGGTCTCAAACCAAAGCATTCTAAATAGAAACATCATTGATTTTACACCTACTAATATTTTATATCCGTGATACCTACTTCACAGATCATTACTTATTATATTTTGCTTTCATCACCACAAGTTTATCAATACGTGACAAGAGTAATGACTCATACAGCAATGTCTAAACAATGTTTTTTAATATTAGTAATTGAATAACAAAGAATATGGTAAATTTTTATGCTGACATTCGCTTGGCAATAATTACAGATTTAAGTTAAATCTGCTAAGAAATGTTGACAAGGAAAAATTTAACAAAAATTTCTTTCCATATTATAAAAATAAATTTTGTTAATGATACTCATAGGCCAAAAGATTACATTTAGTGCTATTTGAATTAAGAATAACTGATTTGTTATTCACATAAACCCAGAACGGCGTCACAGTTCGTATAGCTGCATCAGGAGGCAGAATTTAGGGAAGACAATATTTTGGAATTTAGAGAACCACGAGCAACAAAATTAAAGGATGACAAAATTCTTAAAACTTAGGAAAAGCACTGTAACCCCAAATTTAAAACTTAGGGAGTTGCCTGTCATGATTGGTAGAAGAACTTTGGACTCGTAGAGACTGCATCAGGCAGTAAGACATCTAATGCCGACCTTTCATAAGCTTTATGCATATGTGAGAATTCATTTATTCAAGACTCAGATAAGCCTTAAGCATGTGCAAGAAATAGACATAAGTATACTAAATAACTAATACAACTGGCTAACTTCAGACGTTATCTGCTAGACTGTTCTGGAAAAGAATGTTTCAAAATGCTTTTGGGGGGTTGGCCACATGTGTAAGGAAATCAGCCACTGACAACAAGAAGTGATTAAAAGATATTGTTCTCAATGGTCATTCTAAAGGTAGGTGATCTATAAATAGATCACTCGGTGGTAGCAGGTTGATTACTAAATCGGAAATACTACATAATAAATTTAAATAAAAGCAATACAAGTTGAGAGTATTCCATCAATTAATAGTGCAAAAGAAATCTCAGAAAAATAAATAAATATTTGTCTTTCAAACTTATTATATAGTTCGAAAACTGTAGGAGATGCTTCGTTAAAAAAATAAAAATTAACAATTTATTTATATAAAACATGTAATTCCTGTTTTCTGTACTCGCCAAATTTTACTTTTGCATTACTTAATAAAAACAGAGTTTCAAGTTTCACATGTTCTGAATTTTATTATGAAAGATTTTATGCTGATGAATAAAATTGCTGAACACTAGTAATTCAGTTGTTGAGTGTGGTTAAAATTCCGAGCAACGGGGTGGCTGAGGTATGGGTTTTTCAAAATTTTCTCCGTGTATAATGTGAATACGATCCAGCTGGTATTAGGAAATCCTCCATGAAGGTAGCCTACTCCTTAGGCAGCTAATCCTTAGATGCTTTTACCATAATCAAATAGCCTAATCTAAACTTTTACACTCGTAGCTTTGTCAAGATTTGATTTGATATTTTTTGTTTAAAGTTTTTCATGCAAAATTTTATTTCATTATGGCTGATGAAATCACTTCAAATAATGCAGAAACTTGATCATTGTGTATAAGATTTGTTACAGTAAAAAAAAAAAAAAAAAAATTATAAAAGAGGTCCTAGATTTTTTCAGACTAGATAGATTAGAGGATAATTTATTTCATCCTCTATAATTTCAATTATTTCAAAATTTGGGGTAGATGCTAGCAATTTAAAGGTCAGAGTTATGATAGAGCAGGTAACATGTCATAAAAAAAGTTGGAATTTAAACTCGTATTAAAGCTTTCGCACCAAAAGCAAGCTATCCATACAAACCGGATGCTTATGTATATAATCAATGGAGTGTGCAGTGTAAGCAAACCACTATGGTTCTGATGAATTCAGTCGTTTCATCTGCTTTCATTGTAACATTCGTAACAACATATCATTATCTCTCTCATTTAAAAGGAATTACAGTTAACTTCAGGGATGAGCTGTTGATATCCTGAAAGCCTATAACATGGTCCAGGAAATAAGTGAGTTTTATATTTCTGAGCGTGAAAATGTAGAAAAGAGTATTCTGAGAGTATTTTGTTCATGCTGGGCAAATGTGTAAAAAATTAGATGTAGAGCTTAAAATGCCACTCAACATTTGAAAGCAAGTCTCAAAATAATGGTAATTTGATTTTGTGTTTAATTACTACAAAACTAGTTTAGCAATCCCTTTACTTGACCATCTCATTTTCCATCTAAAATCTTAATTTTTAAATTTAGAAAAGACTGCATCATCCCACTTTTGTATACTACCATCAATTAGCGTTGATCATGTAAATGAAATTGCTGTGAATGTGTTGAAGGTGACATAAAAATGATTTGCCCTCTCCGGAAATTCTAAGTGAAGCGCTGAAACGTTAGCGACGGCATTTTATGTCTATTCCCAAGGCAAAGCTCCTAGACACACCCACTTTGTCCTTAAAAGCTTTGAATAAAAACTTTTTCCCAAATATTGATATGTTTTTGCACAAAGCAGCTACATTGCTGATAACATCTTGTGAATGTGAACGTTCTTTGAAAAGATTACAAAATTATAATAGAGATACTATGACGGTAGAGTGCAAAAGTTCTCTGGCATTAATGAATATTCATTATACCAAAGAAATATTAATTGACAAAGTTACTGACATATTTTCCAGTTTACAGCCACAAAAAATGGAATTCGGGAATATTTTAATTGCTGAACCAAAATGAAAGGGCAGAAAACTGTTCGCTTTTTTTAAATCCATTTTTATTTGCAATTTAATTTTATGCCCAAAATAAATGATGCATTTACAACTTTTATGTATTTAATTCAATATCTTTATTATATAATTATAAAAATAGAAATATGGATTTTATTTATTTATTAATCTTTACAGTTGTATTTTGAAACTAAAGTAAGATGAATTTCAAAATTCTTTTAGTATTTCTTTGTATGTATTTGAGTGTGTATGTCTGAAATGAAAGTAAAGTACTGAAAGTACTTTTACTAGTGTTATTCTAGTTTTGTTATTTATTATTTCTCTTATTTTGCTTTTTAAAATTGCTTTAATAAAGGTTAAGGTGGTTAAGGGGAAAACAAAAGTACTGAGTTACGCATTTAATATGTTTGTTTGGTAATAATTATAAATACAATAATTAAATGCATTATATCCATAATTAGGATACATAATTTTTTTATTAATAAAATTTATAATTGTTACTTATATTCAGATAACTGCCATTAACATAATGTATTTGTCACGTAATAAATATCTACATATTTGAAAATGCTATAATAGGTAGAACAGTATAGCCATAGGAGTCCCGTATTTTGAGGTGCCCATGGAATTGCAGAATTCATGTCATCTCACAGCAACTTTGGCACTGCTTACTATGTACACAATGACGTGTTTTAACATTTTCTGATTTTTTCAGAAAATTGCTTTTATTTGCAAAACTGAATTTTTTAACATCAATTTTTTCCATATGATACATGCATACTTCTTCCAGATAACTACATTTATCAGTAGTTATATTCAGAGTCAATATTGAGACAATAAGAATTGTAAGAATGATAAGACCTACTAGGTGTATATTTTTTAGACCATCAATAAATAAAAAGAGCAGCTGTCATACATGATACTCAGCTATTCTCACGCCAATTTCCTACTCACATTGGAGCACTTTGTTGGCAATCTTTAACTGTACTTGTGCATACAATTCAATCATTTGCTTCATCATAATTCCAAAATGGCACCTATTATGTGCTTGCATAATGTGCACTCAACCATTAGTGCATTCCCTGATAAAATACATGTTCATTATATTCTGGGTTGCTTACTTAAGTGACATAGCATTTTGCCCGGTGATGCTTCTCACCACTGAGTGAATAATACGAAGATACCATTATGCTGCTTTATTTTGAATGTACATTATAGCTAGAAAAGATATCAAAGAATAAATTGAAGGCCAGTGTTCTTAAACATGTGTGTACGCAAGGAAAACATGAGTTGTATTAGAAAAAAAAATTTTTTTTCTGTGGAAACAAAGGACGAAAAAGTTATTAATGCAGAATGCCTGTTCTCTGCTTTTCTATTGAAGCACAATTTGCAATGAATGCATGGGATCATGCTGCAGCATTTTTAGAAAAATGTTTCCCGGCAGTAAATTTACTAAGAAATACTTAAGTGCAAGGACAAAAAGTTGCAGTTGTAGATAAAATGAGTTAAAGGAATTGGTATGAAAAATAAATCTTCAGTTGTTGATTGCATTAAAACAGTTCCGATGCAAAGCTCTATCCAATGCTGTTTTATTTATTTATTTTTTTTAAATCCAGAGTCTTCAGAAATTTAGTGTATCTTACTTTCTGTCGTCACCAGAAGGAGATTCAACAGGTTTTAATATATAGCACAGCTAATTATTATAACTTTAAAAGAAAGTACAATTCTTCGGGATATTTGCTTAGCACTTAGTGCCAACAATGCACTAGCAATTGTAGGCTTGGTAATTGATGTTGCAGACATCTTAAAAAAAGAAAATTCTGATTTGCAAATTATGAGGTGCATTAATTAAGTGTGGATGAACACATTGTTGATATTTATTAACTTGAAAAGAATTCTAAAAGGATTAAAAGGAAAGGAATTTGAAACAACTTCCTGCATAATACTGAAATAAGGAAAAAGTCGGAAATATGAATGTACATGCTGGTTATCTTTAGAGAAATGCTTATCCAGAATCCTCGACAAGTGGAACCGACTTCATTTTTTAAGAAAGAAGTAAATGTTTCTAGAATTAATATAAAAGGATGTGTTGAAAGTTAGAAAATACCTTTAGTAAATGAAGATGTATGTATTACATCCAGTGTTAAAAACAGGTGTGAGAAAAATAAGTAATTTCTGCACCTGCGAGCAATTTAATTGGCAATTCTCAAAATTACACCACACAATATAAGCGTAAAGTTCTTCCAAAATAAAATTGCTTGACAAGGGATGCATTTTCTGATTATTGTGAGTTTATCTTCTGAAGAACAAATATTTATGTTTTTGTCTTTACACTTGCTTGGAATTAAGCATTTTCCTTTTTTGTACGCTCCATTTTGCCATCATTTAACATTCTTAACACAATTCCACAGTGCAGAATTAATTCATGTTTTACATCAATGATTAGTGATCTGGTTAAAGTATTATTTAATGATTAGGGAAGTTGATTAGAGTACTTTTGTTATTAGAAGATACAAGTAATAAACTTTTTTTTAACGTGTTGTATTATTTGCATTTAAGAAATAATAACTTTCAGGTATTAATTAGTTACTATTTAAAGTTATTTAATTAAAATTTATTTTCTTTCTACATATTTTTATTATTTAAAAACGTAGAATTTAAGACTCTTTTTGTTGTTGAGGAAATTCTCCTGATTTCTTAAACAAAAATTTCCTGATTTTTGAGTGTCATAGTTGGCAAATATGAAGTCTGATAACATAAAATGATTACAACAGAATAAAATTTACTGAAACCTTTAGTTGTACTTTGGCTTGAAATTATAAAATCTGAAATGTTACAACTTAACATTTACTTTCTGTAAGTTAATAACATAGCGGTATTTTGTTTATTTATAAAGCAAATATCAGATTAGAGACTAGGAATGTGACTGCTATGTTAATGTGACTTTTAATTTAACTACAAGAAAAGTTAAAAACCCAAACTGGTGGACAATTGGTTCAGCACTTCAGTCGCAACCCTATTGGTTGAGATTGCCAACATTCCCCCTCTTAACTTAGATTCTGACTGCTTATTTAAAACTCGCTAAATTTGAATTTCTGTTGGAGTTGATGAAAAGAATGGAAAAAATTTTACACAAGAAAATAAACCTTACATTATATCGTATATCAGTATCAGTGACGGCTCTCCTTACCACCATAGTAATTGGATGGCCATTTAAAATAAGTGTAATTCAGAAATTCGAAAACAATCATCTATTCCCTCTTTTTTTTTTTTTTTTTCCCTTCTTCTAAAGTATTACTGGCAGTAGAGGATGCAAGAAGAAATCATTAAAAATTTAGCATTTTAATAACAAAATATTTGTTATACTTTAATGATGCAAGAACATATAATAATTGATACTGTACCATGTCTGAAATTCAGATATCCATTATCCAGGATGACCTCCAGACCATCCAGTACCCTCAGATGTCAGACAACCAGCACACCCTCTAAATTAACAATAAAAAAATCCCTTCAAAGTCTAGGAAGCAGAATATAAAGGAAGCAAGTGTTTGTAAATGCGACTTTTCTCTTGACTAAGATTCCTGCCTGCCACTTTCAAACCTCTGCTGGCTAGAGTCGCATTTAGGCCAGTGATAATACATTGGTAACGTGATTTGATTTTTTCCCTCGAGTGTTTGTGGTCATGGTGGTGGGAGGGAATTAGCATTTTTCTATCTGACCTAAACAATAATTGAAAACACAATATTCCTTTAAAACTGATGGTCTGAAATCTGGGAAACTTGCGAAGTCTGGAATCGCCAGAGTCCTGAGGATTCTGGATCTTGGACTTTGTACTGTATTTCTTTCTATCAGACTTACCATTTTCCTTTAAAATATACATATTCATAGTTTTCAGGTTTTTAAACCGATTAGCTTGCATGTTTAAGGTTTTCTTTTCTTTTCTTTTTTTTTTTTTTTCAAGTAGTCAAAAATATGCCTGTAATTTTAAGTACTGTTTTTGGTTAATAATTTATTCTTTAAATGGTGGCACTAAAATTGATTAATGTTTTAATCATTTCTCTTTCCTGTCATTTTATCACACATGAGCAGTAAATCGCATACTTCATAATTACCAGAAGTTTCTTAATACTGATTTTATTTGGGTGCGTATCCATTTCCTCACTTTCAGAAAAGATTGTTTTGAAAGTCTGTTAAACTTGCATTCTTTTTTATTATGACAAATGCTATAAATTGCATTTTATGTTGTAGTTTTAATTTAGTGAGGTGACATAGATTTAATTTAAGGAGATCAGTTATATGTTATTACTGTTAATGCATAATTTTTATTTTATATTATTAGGTGCAAAATCTCTTGGTCTATCTACAGCTGCTCACGGTCTTATCGAAAGTGGAGGGGCAGATCTGGTCCATTATTTCAACTTTTCAAGCAACAGAAAGCTTGAACAGCATCTTAAAGAAAATGCTGCAGAAAACGAAAGGCAAGATGTGTATTCAATCTCAGAGCCTCAGATTTGATTTTTTTTAAAGTAATGTGTTAATTAGACAAATTAACTTTGAGATACAGCAAATTTTAATTTTATTAATCCCCAATAATAAATCTTTAAGAAGTATTATACTTCTGTATTTACTGTATCATCATTAGTTTGTTAGTATTGGCTATGGAAAATCTTTTTTTACTTGCTTCACAATATTACCATGCCTTATTATTTCCTGAATTTTTAGTGTTTCATAAAAGTATCAGTTTAATTGAGTTTCTTATTTATTGCAGTTGTTGCATATAAAGTTAATGCATATTTCAGACTTTATTAAAACAGTGAATTTATCTTCTTGAACTCACAAGTATGTTATGTACATGTAATAATCTTTATTGTTTTAAGTTATTTTATGCGATTGTGAAATGAAGTAAATAATTTTCTCTCTTTGTAGCAGTTGATTGAAGATAGATTTTTTTAATGTAAATTTTATATTTTTGTTTATTGCTAGGTATTTTGGGCTGAGTGTCGCAAGTATTTCTGAAATAGAGTTATGTTTATTTTCAGTATAGATGTATTAAATTATTTAAATAATCATTATCTTTATTCTTTGTTGATTTTCATATTCTAATCCATGCATTCAGCAAAAGGAATCTCAGCTAATTGAGAGAAGAATAGATATAGGGCAATCTTTCTTAAGTATCATATTCTCTATTCATACATGTAATAAAAAGTCTCAGGGGAAAAAAAAAAATATGGAACTTTTAGATCATCAATAATTCTGCTTTTTCGACATTTGACTTTTGAGTTTTGTACTGTATGATATGCTATGACATTAATGGTTTTTAATTGTTATGGTAAGATTGCTTTGTTTAATAGTAGTTTCTGTGATGCCGAACGAACTTAATATTGAATATTGTTATGCATAATTTTATATTAAGGAAAATTTGTTAATTTCTTTTCTTTATTTTATTTGGGGCTTTAGCTGTATTGCTATTTCTTTTAGGACTGATCTGAAAAATTTTCTAGAAAATGCTCTGGAATTTAGGCTTAGAATGGTTATCCCATTTGTATCAAACTGGCCCGAGGTAAAAGCTGCAGTTCGTATCTATATAAAAAAACAGTCAAACTGTTCACCATAAAAGTAACTTATATCACTTTTTTCTTCTGATAGGCTATGGCTCTTATGTTATTTCCTACTCAAATTCCTGCTGATACAAAGAATTTGCTTGATATGGCAGATCAAATTTGGCATTATTCGGGAGATAAATCCTTAGACGTAAGTTCAAGATATGTTTTACTTCATTTATGAAATTGAAGCTGTTGACTGCACATATTTAATTCTAATCTGAGAACTAATGTGAGTCTTGCTACATTTGACTTGTCAGGTTACTTTATCTTGTAGTCAGTCTAGTTTTATATATATTTGATGTTGTGTGTGTATATACATTTTGTAATTATATGACACACATATACATACATGTATGCTATATAATTACAAAATATTGTTGTGAATGATAGTTTATGATAATTTGCTGCCCACCAGTGCTCAAGCAGTAGAGTTACTGAACACTAGTAGTTTATTCCAGAGTTTGAATCCTCACCAACTGGCTGGCTGCTGGGCATTTCCTCATGTGTAACATGTATGCAAGCCAGCTTCCTTTGAAAGTCCTCCACGAAGTCATCCCTTCCTTTAAGAGGTAGCCCTTGAGTGCTTGGTCATAATAAAAAATAAATACAATAATGATTTGCTTCAATTAATATTTTAATTGTGATGTAAATTTCCTAAATTAGATTTCTTTCCCCTTTCAAATTTTTTGAGTTAATTCATGAGTTTTTATGTTCAAAGTTGTATTCTGAAATCTTTATAGTTGAAGTTTATTCAAAGTACAAACTCTTATTTTTTATTGCTAGGCTATGCTAAACTTTATTCAGATTATGGTCAGTATATATTTTTCAATTCCATTTCACTTTATTTTCTTATATCTTAGCTTGCACCTTAATAGATGTAGCTTTTTAAATTCCACTTGACTGTCTTTTCTCAGTTCCTCTAAGCCATTAGCTGTATAACACTTCACTCTATGTATAAGTTTTTCTTGAAATGTATCACCTAACACATCCGTGTAATTTTCTTATATTTTCCATTCCTATCCAAAATAATAAGAACTCCTTATTATACTGCTTTTAGCTTACACTTTTATTTTATTAGATATTTTTTTTAGGTAACATAATTTAGTTTTATCAGTCTTCTGATAGATTATAACAAATTACAATATAATGTCACAATTAGAATTTCTTATTATCTCCCACTACACATGATGGTCTAATCCAGTGCTTCTTAAACTTCATTCATGACCCTTTTTTGTCATTGAGATATTTTTATGACTTCAGATATTAAATATAGAATAAGGGTATATAAATAAATATTTTTCTATAAATAATTTATTTCGTTGGTAAACAATATACATATGAAAAGTAATAGTTTTAGAATTTGTTTCAAGTATACAAAAATTAATGAAAGAAAATCACATTTTAATCAGTTGAATGCACTTGTTTTTTGCTGCATAGCAAATTAAATTTTGGTGTAAGATTTGACACTTCTTAATGTAAAACATCTTCAGTGTTTTTCAACATTGCATGACATTTGGATTTTAAAAGCATTAAAGCTGAAAAAGTTTTACGTAAGTATGTGGTGCCGAATGACATATAATGAATACTATTTGAGAAATTGTAAGAAATTCAATTGTGCTCCAATCCAGAATTCAGTCAAGGACTTTAGTGGAAACTCAGGTTTCAAGTTTGAGTCACTCAGTAGCTGAACAAACTTCTTTTAGGTTTAATTATGGCAGGCATTAATGTCAATTAATATAATTTCTTTAAAATTCATGTGTCTGCATTAAAGTTTTGTGACGCCATTTGAAATTCCTACCAATGGTTAAGAAATGCTGGTCTAGTGGACATTCCTAAGTAACTGTAATTGTAGAGTTATATTTCAAAGAATGAAATCTAGGTTTGTGTCCTTATATATCTGGGATTTAGTGTTGGGCAATCAAATTATTGTACTGTTTAGCTGAACTATTTCATATGCTCTCAATGTATGAATAAACTAGGAATTTCAAATTTGAAAAATTTAAGATCGATTCTCATGATTTTTCTTTAACCCATTAACCACCAAAACTACAAGGAATGTTTCTTTTTCTCGTGAAAATAATAACAAATATTAAATTAAGCATTTATAACGTAAATTTACTGAAAATAAAAAAAAATGCTCTTACCTTTTAAATCGAGTTTGCGTTCGCGCAACTCAGCGGAATAAGACTCGGATGTGTAAAAGATTGTACTCATGTGATGTTTCTTTGAGTTGAGCGCAGGATTACTTTTTTAGCGTATACGTTTTATAAATCACAAATCACTTACTTGTAATAATTTATATAAATACATTGTATTTTTTACAAATACAGATTATTCATTGAACGTCAGCAGAAACGGATGCAATCGTGATAACTACATTACATACTTTGCAGCGATAACAGGCGTCTATGGTACCTTACACACATCTTTTGTTATCAATGGACCATACATAAATCTCCATCTCCATGCAATGTTTTGGAATGCTGAATTTACTGGTCTTCCTTTGCTGACTATTCGGCTGATTTAACTCTCAGAGGAGTTGCAAAGACTAATGCATTCTTCTCTGAATCTAAAGAGATTTATATTCCCGTATAAAATTTAGATATTTAGTACGTTAGATCGTCCACTCATATAATTATCATAAGTAATTTGACTATGTCAAATGCAAATTCTGCTTCATATTCCGTACTGCAAACGTGATATCGATTCCGACAACGACATCCTTATCAAAAGACCAAAATTTTTTTCTGATTAAAGACTGATTCCTGTAAGCCTAATATTCCAATAAACGCTCATATAGCTTCATTGCAAAATTCTGGTGCTTTTTTTTTCGCTGACGATAATTTATCTGTTCAACGAAGAGAGTAAATTCAAAACAAACGAAAATCGAAAATCTTTGCAGGAATTTTCACTTGTATTTTGTTTTTTTTAAATTTCTCTCTATCTTTTTTCTTCATGTTTTCCTGATACATAACTAACATTCCTTTTTTATCCATTCAAGATTTCATCTTCTGCTTTTTAAACTTTTTAGTAGACTATAACTGCTTTTAGAGGCTAAACTACTTCTTATGAATTTCGACTTTCCGCATATTATTGTAAATACATTATCATTATAAAACATTGCCATTTCCTTTCTCGGCGTCACTAGATTCTCCATTTGTAGGGAACATAACAATCACAATTTCATTTTGGCCTTATTAACAATATAATACTGCTTTTGTTCACCTGAATGCAGCATAGCTGTTTCGTTCTGATGACTTCTGTTCGAGAAGATCTAATCTTTTTCCAAAAACCTTGTATTCTTCCCCCCCCCCCATATAATTTTATTCAATATCTTTACTTACGTACTTCTTTTTCAATCTCCACGTTTCAAGCTCAAAGTTACTTCATTTCAATTTTATCAACTTTCATTCATGATTTTTCTCAATTAACTTTCATCAATCCTGATTATTTCAATTTGCATTAATGGATATATTGCTAAATTTTCGACTTTGGTTACTATTCGTAGTTCTTGTCTAATCACCTTTTTTTTTTTTTTTTATTTTTATTTTCAAGAATGTCGCCATTTTGAAATCTGTCTTTTGATTTTCGGTTGATAATCCCTATTTTAGCGCCATAATACATACATAGAAAGTCGAATCTGGACTTCATTTCCGAAGATCGACCCAACGCCACAAACATTTTTTTTTTTTTTTTTTTGGTATGCTTGACGCATGTGCATTTGATTTTTTTTTTCCCATAATAAACATGTGGAGATTTTCACTAAAAATTTCCGATTCTTAATTTCAATTAAGCCTAAATAAATACTCGTTGTGGAAAAACAATCATGTAAGCATAAATTTGTGAGATTAATAATTTGGCTCCTTAGCTGAGTATCTGCTTGGCATACATCTCAAACGTTCCGTTTACTGCCGTTCGCAGTGTTTACCGAAACATTCATGTATTTTATATCCCTGACGCTGCCCTGGCGACTCATTATTTATTATATTTTGCTTTCATCACCTCGTATTTATGAATACATGACAGCTTCAGTAATAACTTGTGCAGTGATGTCTAAACTTTTTTTTATATATTAGTAATTGAATAACAAGAGTATGACAACCTTTTTACGCTAACATACACTTGGCGATGATTATAGATTTTTAATGCTGTAAAATGTTGATGAGGAAAGTCAACAAAAATTTCTTTTCAATGCTAAAATAGATTTTGTTAATGAACTCATAGCTAAAAGTTACATTTAATGATATTTTAATTAAGAATAACTGATATGGTATTCACCATAAACCCAGAAACGGCAGCAGAATATGTCGGCACTGGATGGCAGAATTTATGGAAGCTGAAATTTTTGGAATTTGAGGAAGCAGCGAATGGCAAAATTAAGACATGAGAAGTTTTTTTTATGATTTAGGGAAAGCACTGGGATGGTAAAAATTTAGAACTTATTAGGAAGGTGCTTTGTAGCACAATTTAGGACCCGTAGAGACTGCACCATGCGGTATTTAGCGCTGGCCCTAGATAAAGCATTAAGTATATGTGGGAGTTTATTTATTCAGGACTTAGATTAGTTTTAAGTATGTGCAAGAAATAGACATAGGTATAGTAAATAACTAATACAATTCAGGCTTAATCCAGTACACAATAGGAGCAAGACAAAATTTAGTGAAACAACTTAGCTTTCATCGCCAATCTTGTGATACACAGCCAATAATGTATCATGGACGCTATTGTGGTGATGGCGATAAGGAGCGCGCCTTGCGCCCTCCGATAAGTGTGGCAACCCTAGAGGAGAAGTTTCTTACGAGTAGCGAGCAGAGCGAAACAGGCAGGCTGTATGCGATGTTCCTAATAAAGTTTATTTTTATGTGCACTATGTCTTGTTAATTTTATATTAATGCAGTAGAACATAATCTGTGATATGGAATTTGAGGATTGGTGGTAAAAACATATCAGGAAATTACCATACTATTATGTTAGGCTGAAAGTAGCAGACTGCGCTGCTCCCTAATCTTTTAGTTTGGTCCAGCTTATTATTTTTTGCAGGCTGTTAATATTAAAGCAATTTTATAAAAACTAAGCTTGAACTTTCGATTATGTCGAAAAGAGTTTCTAATTCTGGAGCTGCTAATGGATCTAAAAAGCAAAACCATGTTTCAATGTCCATTAAACAAAAGTGAAATTGCTGTAAAAATGGATAGGCCTATCTTCTCAAATTATACAAAGAATGGCATTGGAAGTCAACTGTATAGGACAGAAGAAAAAAAAAAGGAACTTTTGTTTTTTTTTGGAAGCCACTTATACAACTTACATTGAAAGAAATGTTAAAAAAATCAACAAATAAATTAGCTTTTTTTTTTTTTTTTTTTTTTTGTAAATTTTGATACCCTTCGATCATAATTGCTCTTTACTTCATAAATTACGATTTCATATTTTCAGTTGTATAATTTCTGCATGCCATCCTACCAGATTTAAATTGATGATCTAATATCCGGAAAAATCCCAAATCCAGAATCGCCGAAGTCCCGACGAGTCCGGGTTTTGTACTGTAAGTCTCTACTAAATCAGATTGGCTCAAATTTAAAGCAATAAACAAAAGATCTTTTTTTTACACAACGTTTATTGATGAACACCGAAGACGAACTGATACATATACATATTTACTGAAATCACGATTTTTTTTTTTTTTTTTTTTTTTAACAAACAAACATTACTGCCATCTATTAGCAAACTGAGGATACATAATCATAAACTTATATTTAACACCCAAGGATTCTAATGCTCTGGCTTTCATTTTCAGTTTATCATATAATAGTGGAAGATCTGTTTGAGAATCTGCTGAGGTAGCATTGTTCATCACCATAGTCAGGAGATCTTGAACAGAAATCTGCACCAGTATATTTTCTCTATCAATAGTTACAGTACTGCCTTTAGGTAATATTCTGTAGTAGTTGGAAAACTTTCTACAGCACTTACAGCTTTCTATTTCGGCACTACAGCCTGCAAGAAATGCGGGAATTTGTCTTTTGTGGGCAAACTTGCATCGGTGTGTATTTTTTTTAATTGTGATCAAAACGAGAGAAATTCTTAAGCTTCTCCACTAAACTTCATTAACTCAATTTTTGGGAGTTGCATTTTTTCGGTATCATCCCTCACTGTTGGCAACGTCACTTTAACTTTGCTTTGGATTACACATTCTTTTATCAGTTTGTAATGCTTATCTCTATATTCTTTGAATTTTGATAAATCCTCTTCATAAATTCTCAAATTGAAAAATAGCATTTTCCAATTCTTGCCAGCCATTCGAACTTGTAGTTGAACTGCAATTCTAAAATAAAAAATTCGTTGATATCTGGATTTTCTTTGGAAAGTGCAGTATTAATTTTATTCGAACATGAAGTAAAATTCATTCTTAATCTCCTTCGTTTGGCTATTAATTTTGGGACATCCATATTGCTTAATCAGCTGCTAAGTATTAGCCTGAAGCTTGGGCACCACAATAATATATTCTGTGTAGGTCCTAACTATTCTAATGGGACTCTCATGCATCTAACCAATGCATAACAGCTGTTGAATCATTTAAATAAATCACCAATAGATCTATTAACAATTAAATTACATTAATTAAGAATATAAGAAATTATACAGTAGAAAGGATTGAATTTAACATTTCTGCCTAGCACATTCACATATGCGGCTGCAAAAGAATCAAAGGCAAACTGTCTCTTCAGTTCAGTTTCATTTCACTTCAAATCCAATAAGACTGAGGCTGATTTCTAACAATCTAAAAAATATCAGTAAGAATTTCCAAGCATAAAAGAAGATATTTTGAACTCTTTACCAGATAGTACATTAACAAAAATGGCACTCCTTTTGTTGAATATTCTTTGGAGCATTTAACTCAATAATCGCATGTGAAAAAGCCAAAATCACAAACAATCCCGGATGCAGCCTTAAAATCAGAGAAACATTAAAAATCACCACTAGACCATGTTGCAATAATCTTATATCTAGATGTCTTCCGGAAATTACAATAACCCGCAGAAAGCATTAAAAGAGCAGGAATTTAGGAATTTGAGCCATTCATTCCAGCTGCAGCTGACAAGAGGGTTCGTCTGCAAGAGTGCCTATTTTTTTTTTTTTTTTTTTTTTTTTTTTTTTTATGTTTAAACATAGTTTACTCTTGTTAGTGTACGAATATGCAATAACTCTGAATATGAATGTTGTATATATGTATGTTCACTATTTCTGCATTTGCAATTATAGTTGGTATTGAAACTAGTGATGATGTAAACATTTATTCTCTGAGATTTACATTTATTATTATTATTATTTAAAATTGAAATTCTGCAAAATATTAAATATTTGCTATCCACACAAGTCAGGATTTTAAAAAGAAAAGTGTTAAAAAGAGAAAGAAAAGTTAAATTTAAAGTAACTTGCATTGTTTTAAGTATTTTATAGAAAAAGGATGTAAATGTATCAACATTAACTGACAGGGAAAAAACTGAACACCTGAATCTATATGCCAAGAAAGCAATGAACAAAAGTGAAAATGGAGGGGAGGACAAGAAAGAAAGAATGAAAGAATTGTTAAATTGTATTGCTGCATTCCATTACTTAAATAAGATTATGAAAATTTCATTATCTTTTTTAATTTAAGTTGTAAATGATTGCTAGTATTAAAGTAATTTTTTATGTGTGTAATAATATTGTATGAGAATAATTTAATAAAATAGAATATTAAAGCAATTTTATTTAAACAAAAAAAGTAAATATAAATCCCAATTCTTTATGGGATTTTAATGCGAATTTTTATGAAGGCATATGTGTCATACTAATGAAAGATCTTTGATTTCTTTATCAAGAATTTAATTTATAAGCACAAAATAAAATCATTATTACTTTAATATGTATTATATTGTTAATATTTATTTCTTTTATATATTGCAGATGTCTTGGTACAGCAAAAGACTTTCAGTTGCTGCTGCTTATAAAGCTTGTGAGTTAAGTCTAATCCAAGATAAGTCATCTGACTTTTCAGACACCTTTGAATTTCTTGAGAGACGTGTAGATACAGTAACAGAAGCACTTCAATTGCTCGACAAAGTAAATTATGATCAAAATATATTAAGGAAAACTCTATAAATTTCATAATGTATTTGCAATAATCCTTCTTTCCAAATTTCACAGGTTAATGATAGTAGTAAAGATCTTACAGAATTTACAGCAGGAGCATTAATTACAGTAAGTAGTTTTTTGGATTTATAATACAAATAAATCTTCCTTCTTTTTATAGCTTCAAACAAATTTGTTTCTTTATATTACAATAACAGTAATTAACATGAAATGGCTGCTTGCAACATTTTTTTTTTCTTCTGCTTTTATTAACATTTAAAAGCAATAGGTTTCTAACGATCCTTTAATGATAAGAAAGTACTGATATCTTGCATTCAGGTTAAATATGCTTTTACCTGTTGTAATGATGATGTGTACACAGTACTTTCATATTAATTTTAAAGATACTATTTTTAACAACGAAAATCAGAATGTTTTAGATTATAGTATTAAATTTTAAAGTAAATAGTATTGGTTGTATAGTTTTAAAGCTGTTCTCTCTTTTTTTAAAATAATTTAAGTGTCATTTTAAATGCAATACAAAGTCCAACCTTTATTTTTTCTTTTATGCATGTGCATTTGATATTTTTTCATGATAAAGCATATGGAAAGTTTCTATTCTTAATTTCCCTTTGGCACTAAATAGAATAACCCCCCCTCCCCATATTGAAAAATTTTATTAGCATAAATTTGTATGATCAATAATCTGACACATATACTGCATATTTGCTTGTCATATATCTCAACCTGAAACACTCTAAATCAAAATATCATTGATTTTACAACTACTGAATAATTTTTATTCCTGATGCCAATCATGGGAATCATTATTATTTTTTGCTTTCATCACAGGATGACAATCAGCGCATGATGGCTTGAGAAATAACTTGTGGTGGTGGTGGGATTTTTTTTTAGATATTAGTAATTGAATATCAAAGAGCATCATGACCTTTTATGTCGACATCATGCTTAGTGATGATTATAGCTAATTGTGCTGCAAAGGGTGAAGTGTGTTGATGAGCATAAATTTAACAGAAATACCTTTATGTATGCAAAAAATAGATTTTATATATGGTATTCATAGGCTAAAGATTACATTTAGTGCTGTTTGAATTGAGAATAACTGATTTGTTATTCAGGTAAAGACAGGATTGGTACAAGAGCTGGTGCAGCTGCACTGAGTATAGAATTTAGGGAATGCAAAACTTTTAGAATTTAGAGAAGTACCGAGCAACAAAATTAAGAGATGGCAAAAACTTTTGAATTTAGAGAAGGTGCTGGAATGCAGAATTTTTAGAAATGAGCGACTGGGCAGCAGAATTTAGGACCCACAGAGACTGCACCAGGCAGCAAAATGTTTAGTGCTGAATCTGGATGAGTTCAAAGTATATGTGGGAATTTATTTATTTGGACTCAGATAAGCATATGTGCTGCTGCTTATCTGGTGCTCAGATAAACAGCAGAAAATAGGTATAATAAATAATAGTAAATAAATTTCAGGCTTAACTTTGACAGCATATGATACATGCAAGACACTTTTAACAGAACAATACATGTTCTGTTAAAAGTCACCAGTCTCATGGTATGTTCAAAGTAAATATACTGGAGATGCTATGTAAGCTTTATAATGAAAGCTCTGAATTTGCAGGTTTTCAGATATTCCAAACAAAAAGTGAAATATTCCAGTTAAAGGAATTTGGGAAACATTGTAGAGAAGTGATAATAAATGAAGATGCTAAGTGACACAGTAGTTGTTGACGACAAAAAAATTTCATTTGACAATTTACTGGGAGTTCTCGACACAGCAGTCACAGACCTTATAGAACTTTGTAACTAAACAAAAAATGATGTCTATCTATAAAATTAAAGAGAGAGTAGTAGCATAAAAAAGTGGAGAAACTTGAACAACTTGCACTGAATAAGATGTTTAATAACACAAACAAATAAATATCGAGCTTTTTTTTTTTTTTTTTTTTTTTTTTTTTTGTAAATTTTGATACCTTTAAGGTCATAAATGATTTCTTGTTTCATAAATCGCTTTTCATATTTTTAAATTTAAGCTAATAATCTAAAATTCAAAATTACTGAAGTCCCAACAAGTCCAGATCTTGGTTTTTTTGTTGTATTTCTCTAAGCAGAGTAGAGAACTTTAGTTTGACTCAGAATACTTTAAAAATACCAATATTTTTCTTATATAAGTTTTATACAGATAGTCTTTGACTTAGGATCAGTGGTGTCATTGTAAGTCAGATACTTATTTATATTTATTTGATATCTTTGATGATATTTTTATTTACATGTACATACTTTTCCTTTAAATTAATTGATATGAACAAAAATATATTGTTATGTCATGCAGGTTCATAATGGATTGAATGCACACTTATTTTCACAAAAGAAACACTTTGCAATTCTGGAACTTTCCACAGAAGTACTTGTGCTGCTGTTCTCAGCATAAGCACAAACAGTAGTTACCACTTTGAATCTCTATTGAACTCAACTCTGAACTAAAAACTAAAAATTGATGCTCTCTCTGGTCATATATAGTTTTCCCCCAGCTGACAAGAAATTTTGTATATCTTTGATTTCTCATAATTACTGCAAGGCATATACGGTTAAAGTTACATGCAAGGGCTATATACCCTTACAGTTACATATAGGGATCAGTTACAGTTATACAGGGACTGGACCCAAATGATTGCCAAGTTTGGCTACTGTTGGCAATTTACCACCAAATTCGGTGATAAAAATCAGTCGCTGAAACTAGTACCAGCTTGGCTATATCTCACTAATTTAGTGAGATAGCCATTTATGTCAATGTTAAATGGACCTGTTCCTGTAACCTTATTTTTCTGGTGAAGCTTCACTCCTGGGACCGTTCTTGTTACATTATACGAAGTAGGATTCAAAAGTTCTTGGACTGAGTCTATAATGTAAAAAAAATGTAGAATTGCAGAAACACATCCTCCTTTGAAATAAGACCCTTGTGCAACAACACACTTTCGCCAGCACCTGTAAAGTTCATTAAAGCATGTTTGGAATCCAATTTTTGTCCATGTCCTTTAATTCAGACTGCAATGCACATTTAACTTCTTCTCAAAATTGAAAACGACGACCCTGCAAGCGTCCTGCCAGGAAATAGGAAGAAATCATAGGTTGCGAGATCAGGTGAGTATGGAGAATGGGGCAAAACATTTGTTTTTGTTTTTGCAAGAAAGTCATTGACGAGTAGGGATCGATGAGCAGAAGCGTTGTCATGCAAATGCACCCATGACTGCCCAGCCCCCATTTTTGGTCTCATCTTCCGGATCGACTCGCACAAATGACACAGAATTTTGTTGTAGAGTTCTTTGTTTACGGTACGTCCTTCAGGGATAAATTCCAGATGCACAATGCCCTAGATATCGAAGAATACATCTAACATGACCTTTCTTTTAGATCGACAGAATTTCTGCTTTCATGGAGGTTGTGGTGATTTCCACATTGCCGATGCTCTTTTAGTTTGTAGGTCATATAAAAAACACCATTTCTCATCTCCAGTAATAATATTGCCAAGTAGGGAAGAATCTTTGTCTACAGCCGAGATTAAGTCTCCCGCCATTTCCATTCGAATTCCCTTTTTGTCTACATTTAACATATGGGGGAACAATATGTTGACACACCCTATGCATGTTAAGATCCTTAGTCAGTATCTCCTGACATGTGGCCTCCGATATCCAAACTGATTGTGCTATTTGGCAAATCGTTTGCTGCCTGTTTGCATGTACCGCCGCAGACACCTTTTTGATGTTTTTATCAGTGTGAGAAGTCACAGGACAGCCACAGTGTCCGCCGTCTTCGGCACTTTCCTTCTTTCTGTGAAATGATGATGCCACTCAAAAGCTTGCGTTCTTGAAAACGTTTCACTTTTGTGCACATGCTTCAATATTTCAAAAGTCTCTTCCCGAGCGAACACAAAATTTGATATTGATTCTCTGCTAAACTGATGTCATTTCTTTCTACCGCCGGTTACTAAATGTACCTGCCTATAAAAAACACTGTCACTGCGAGCTTTCGACCATGTGATTTTAAACAAACCACTTTTAGAAAAGTGGGAGAATGTAGTAACAAAAACGTTCTTGTAGTCGCACTACTGCAAAATATTTTTACGTGATAGACTCAGTCCGGGAACTTTTGAATCCTACAACACTCAAGAGTTACAATTTTGAAAATTATTTCACAAAAATTATTTACACATATACAAAATTTTTAACAATATAAATGATGTGTTTAATTAAAAATAGCTCGTGAATAATTGTTACTCATTGGATGATTGATTGCAACTTCGAGTAGTTTCTTTATTCAAAAAGTTTATTAATGCTGTCTTTCTTTTTATATATTTTGTGATAACATTGAACTACTTCTCTAATTTAATTTTCAATTGTGGTGAATCTATCAGTGTCTTGATTCACATTTATGGATAGCTGAATTCTGGATTTAATTTTAAAAAATTCTTCAGTTAACCTTAGGGCAGTAATTTGTTTTAACACTTTTTCTTCTTGATTTTTCATACCAATCCTATCTTCTACAGCTATTTCATTTTCAAAATTAATCAAATCATTAATCAACTCACCTTGTTTGTGATCTACTAATTGTTTTAGAGCTTCTGTATTGGTTGATGTCTAGCTCCGTCTTGCATGCTGTTTGAACAACTTCCTTGCCAGTTTGTCCCAAGATATGTTCATTCTATTCCTTTAGTATTTCCTACAGCAGAAATATTTTTCAAAATACTTCACATGCAATGTTGTGAGGTTTTCCCCATGAAGTTCCAGTATTCTGGATTTATTGACCAATATCATATTTTATTTCAAAATCTTATATTGTTATACAATTATATGGTAGGTGCGATATGCTTATAATATTTATGTGTCATATGAAAATGTAGTACTTGGATAATATGATTTGAATGCAGCTTTCAAAACTTGATCCTTAGGGTTAAATCGTAGCTGTTATACTGGGTAGTAGATCACATTTATATTTTTGCTAAAATCACCAAAATAAAAAAGATGCCTTGCAGATAGTCTTGAGGTATTAAATAATTGCATTTTGCCTATTTAGGAGTTTTACATTTTTAGTATATTCTCTCGCAACAAATGGTATTCTTGCATTATCCACCTAGCCCTCCCACAAAACCAGCAATTTTTGGTGACAAATGTTTTGCCAACTTAACACATGAAAAACAGTAGGTAATTTTCAAAAAAGATATCATGCTGAAAATTGCAAAAAGCAGCTACAGCTCAATGAAATTAAAATTCCAAGAAATATCTATAATAAAACAGAAAATTACATAAAACAGCAATAAATTATCTAAATTAAAAGTGCAGGAAACATCCATAATGAAATACTGAAAATTACATAAAGCAACATTCATAATGAAGCACCAAAAACTATGTAAAATAGCAGCAAAATAACTAAATTCAAAATATAGATATCCTTAATAAAACACTTAACTTTCCATTTTCCCTCTCTTCTGTCCATGTGCACAGTAATAAGTTTTAACATCATAGATTTGCAGAATTCTCAGCATTCTTGAGTGCCTTGTCTTTGTTCTCCATGTACTCATTGACTTGTTTTAGCTGTCGTAAACTATTTTTGTCTATCCTCAATCAAATTTCCTACTGGCATTCGAACACTTTGCTGCAGTAGTTAACTGTTGATTTCCATACAGTTTGGTTATTTGAAAAAAAAAAAAAAAAAACTTCATGATATGCTAGGCACTATCTACTACTAGCCAAAATGCCATGTTTCTGAAAAAAATGCAATACTATCTTCTTGATTAGCAATCAGGCTTCTATAAATTCATTACAATGTGTTACATGAAACAAATCTACACGCTAATCATGAGCTGGAACTACACACACACAGCACTCGAATTCCAAAACTATGTGCATTATGCAGTGGCGTAATGGGAATGCAATCATTAATGGGTTGGCAGATAAAATACATTTTTGTTATATTCTAGGTTTCCTCCTTTGGCAACATGGTGCTTTGCCCAGCGATTTTTGCAAAGGTTGACGGATAGTGCGATAGTATCCCAACAAACAAATAATGAAAAATAAACATTTCTGAATGTCATGTTATACATTTTGTAGTTGCATCAGTGTTTTTTATGCTGCATTTATACATATAAAAACAGTGCTTATATATATGTGCGTGTGCTGGCACAGAACAAAGTCCAAAATTGGGATTTGGCGATTCCGGATATTACATCATCAATTTAAATCTATTTAGATGACATGTAGAAATTATAAAATAAAATATATCAAACAGTGGCTTTTAAAACAGTGAAGCATTTAAGACGTTAAGGGAATCAAAATTAACAAAACAAGGTGAATATATGCATATTTGTTTGCTTTAAACATTTCTGTTGCATCAAGTTCATCTATTTACATTAAAACTAATGTAAAATTCCTTACCTGCTGCATCTTCAGTGTTCACGATGCCAGTCTTTTAATAATCACATTTTCTAGTAAGAGTTTCTATTAAAATTAACAGGCCATCTTGTCTTTTAGATATTTATTCAAAGGAACACTAATATACAATATTTACATGGTAGGTGAAAATTATTTTATTATTACAGTACATTTAATTGTTTTTCTGAGTCAGAAGTTTTGTCTTTACACTCCTCAGAGTGCTTCGAATCTAGTCTCGTTTTCAGATTTCAATTAGAGAAAAAGAAAGGAAGAATGCCTGCCATCTAGTGGCAAGAATGGGACAATTTCTTTCAATATCACTTATTGAATTTGTTTGGTATTTTGTGCTAATAGTATCTCTTTAATTATATAGTGAGACATAATTTCCTGTTCAGTTACAAAGTTTCACTGTTCAAAACCTGCAATTGCTGTGTTGAAAATTTCTACTAAATTGTCAATCAGTATTTTTTCATCCTTAACAATCTCTTTTTCCTTTTGTTACTCTTGGTAAGAATATTTTCTGGAATCAACCATTCTACAGAGTTTGCCATCCATTAGTTGACTGATGATTGGGGCATTGTTATTGCTATGAAAAACTTCCGTTTTATCATCTTTATTTATTACCACTTCTCCACATTTCTTAAAAAATTCCATTAATTGGAAAATTACACTTTTTTTTTTTTTTTTTTTTTTTTTGCGTGAACACTTTTCATATTTGTGGTGATTATTATAAAGCTTATCTAGTATCCGCTGTACATAACGATGGATCAAATGAAAATGGAACAGTAGCCATCAAATGAAAAGGTATTATTTATTTTCAAGTGCAATTACTAAAATTATACAAGCACTTGTCCACTGTTGCACCAAGTGGTGAATGCTTCTTTTGTAGAAAGAGTTTGGCTGAGATTGAAACGAGTCTTGAACTATGTCCATGACCTTCACTGTCAAAGTGTTGATCTCATGAAAAAGGGACCGTGGGCATAATTTGATGTTTTTTCGTGACTGTCATGAAAACTATGTGTAAAGGAAGTGCGGGAGCTAAGAAAGGCAACCCTTCTGCAGAACGGATTTGCCCTAAATAATTATGTTGATATGTGCTGGCGGCAAGCAATCGTTTGCATCCATGTCTGCATAATGTTTGCAACTAAAGAAGAGCAACATAGTATTATTTGGTTTTTAGCAGCAGAAGGTTTTAAAGTTTGGGGCACAAGTGTTTCTGCGAGGGACAGGAAAGATGATCCGCGACTGATCCAATTCTTTGAAAGATGATCCACGACCTGGTCAAAGTCACCTTGTCATCATGGACCCTTACAATGCAGTAAAAACAGTGTTGTGTAGTGCACTAAAACATTAAGCAGACAGACAATCCACTATGAAGGACATCAGCTAGGATGTGAGTGTGAGTTTCAGTTTTGCTCGTGCCATCATTACAGAGAAACTGCATTATAGAAAATTGAATGCAGAGTGGGTATTACACAGATTCACAGACAATCAGAGGTGGCTATGCATGGGTTTGTCCTTTCAGCATTATCTCTGTCATCATACTGAGGGCAATTTCTTAGACAGAGTTGTGACAGGTGAGGAATCCTGATGCCATTACTACCAACCAGAAATCAAGTGACAAAGCCAACAGTGGAAACATCCAAGCTCCCTACCACCAAATAAGTCTGGGATGATGGAGAGGAAGGGTACAATCATGCTGACATATTTTTTTTTTTCAATATGAAGGGTGTGCTTCTCATTGAATTCCTGGCCCCAGGTGAAACGATCAGTGCTGCTTAGTACTGCAATACCCTGAAATGCTTAAATGCAGCAATCAAAGCCAAGCATGTTGTCTTCTGGAGTGCTTTTACTCCAGAACAATGTCCAGGCACATACAGCCACACACACACACTGTACGTGCTTGTGCAGTTTTGGCGAAGTGTGTTGACACACCCACCATACAGCTCTGGCCTTTCACCATGTGACTTTCAAATCATTGGTCTGCTAAAAAAAGTTATTGCGGGATCAACATTTTGACTCCGATAGCTGTACATAACGGTGGACACAGTTCAAAACTGGTTTCAATCTCAGCCAAACTCTTTCTATGAACACTGTGTGGTACAACAGTGGGAGAGATACTTGTGTAATTTTAGTGATTATATTTGAAAATAAGTAATATCTTTTCATTTTGTGGTTACTGTTCCATTTTCATTTGGTCCACCATTATACTGTTGTCGATGTGTCATGAGGTTGACGATTAAGACAATTTTGTCTAATTCTTCGTAAAATTTTGTGTTGTAAAATTCCTTTAAATTTTGCCTTGCTTCTGTTGCAACTGATAAAGGTCATATCTGAATTATCTTAGTTATTTATTATTCTTATGTGTATTTTCAACACTTGCTTGAGGTGTATGCGAGTTCAAAATAAATAAATTTCCTTATACTCGAGGCGTATACAGGTTACAGCGCTAGACGTCTTACGACTTCTGTGTATCCAAAATTCTACTGCCAAGTGCCTTCTTAAATTTTAAAATGTTTGCTGCCCCTAAATTTTGTTGTTCAGTGCTTCTCTCAATACTAAAAATTTTGTCTCGCTAAATTCTGTCTCTTGGTGGGGCCACACCATCTCTGGCATCGGCCCTGGGATTATATAAATGATAAATCAGTTATTCTTAATTCAAGCAGTGCTAAATGTAATCTTGTGCCCTATGAGTATCATTTACGAAATTATTTTTTTGCGGATGGAAAGAAATTTTTGTTCAATTTCTCTTTGTCAACACTTCGCAGCAGAGTTAGCTGAAGTCTGTAAACAGTGCCAGGTGTAATGTCAATATAAAAGGTTACCATACTCTTTTGGTATTCAGTTACTAATATTAAAAAGGATTTTTTAAATATTACTACATTAATCATTTCTCATGCTGCAGTGTGTTGATGGCTATGCAGTGATGAAAGCAAAAAATGATAAATAATGATTTGCCAGGTTTATGTCAGTGCCAAAGTGAAATTAAGAATCGGGACTCGGCACATTTTGTTGTGAAAAAATGTCAGTTGTGCAAGCATAAAATTTTTAAAAATTTCTTTTAAAAAAAGTTGCTACTGATTAGATCATTTTGAATTTTGGACTTTGTACTATAGTAAATTTAAATAAGAGGATTTTTTTAAGGTTAATTCTCTAGCTGTTGTAAAAGTGAGTCAACAGTAGTTGAGGGCTATTTGTGTTTACAAAAATTTTCTGAAACTGTGTGAAATGATAATTTGAGTCATCATGAAAGCTTATAAAGTTGTCATAAAATTTTGCAGTTTTCCATAAAAATGGTACATAATTCACATGCTTTTAATATTGGAATATCAGTGTTTTCAAGTTTTGATAGGAATAATGCCTAATAACCATTGGACAAACTCACTGACTAGTTACCATTTGGTTTAAAAATTACTTTATAAGGGTTTAATTTTGATAATTTCATGTGGATCCAAGACATTTTTTAGACAAAACTTCATTGAAATTTAGGTAAAAGACAATTTTTTTTAGCTTTCTGTGAGAGTGCACTGAAGATAGAATTCGATAGAAGAAAACTAATTGATTTTTCATTATGATTGAAAACTGCACCCGTATGTGACTTCTTCTTTGTGCAACACTGGGTTTTCACTGGTCTATTACAAAGCAAGTATTATGAGAAAGTAAATGTAGAACAGGAAATGAGGTGACTTTCTTTGATTCCATACTAATTTAGTGTATTATACTTTTTTTTTTCCAAATTTGAAAATGTATTTTGTATTGCTATTTTTTTTTTTTTTTTTTTTTTTTTTTAGATTGGTCTAGCTGTATTAACTGCACATGTTAAAACTGTTCATTAGGCTTGTGTTATGACTGAAGAAATTTGATAATTTAACCCCTATGAAAATGTGTCATGATTATCCTTCTCTGGCCATGAGTTTTTGTTGTTTGATGAATATAACGTTATTATTTAAAATATTTTTATCCTTTAAAGGTATATTAAGTGAATGAAAATTTATGAAAACCGAGACTAAAATAATGAAATTTACAAATTTAACAAATAAATGCTATTTGAATCCAGTTTTTTGTAAGAATATCAAAGCTGTGTGCTCAGAGTGTTAAAGATGTTGCAAAATGTTTGGAAATTACTGGCTTAAATCCTAATGATCATTAAGCAGCATGTTGCTTAATAATGTCTCAAACAAAATACAGTCATCATCCAACAAAAACAAAAAACTGAATTATTTTATTAGCAGATTGAATCATATACCACATTTGCCGGCGTATAAGACGCACCTCCTTTTTACTTCCTTGTATGAAGTAAAAAGGAAGTATTGTAACCGCGAAAAGTTTCAGGCAGCATATTTCAACGGAAATATCCATTTTGACTGCCATTGAATGCAATTTAACAATGTTTTTGCATAACATCTGTACGTAAGAACAGAATAAAAGCCTCTTTTACCCCCCAAAAATTATAAAACTGCTTTAAAATGAATTCTGAAGATAATTTTTCGTGTGTCTGTACATACGTACATATGCATCTCACATAACTCAAAAACGAGTAGCCTCGGAACGTTGAAATTCTGTATATAGGACTTGTAATTTTTAATATAGATATTTTGAGTTTTTATATATTTTTGCCTTGTTGCGAACAAGGCAAAACTTGCGTATTTTTGCAAGTGAGAACTGAATTAATTGAATGAGAAATACTGAACTGTCTATGAAAAACTGTTTCTTTTTGTTTTGTTTGCTTAATTTCTTTTATACATCATTCTAGCATTATTATAGTATTTGAATAGAACATGTGGCAACGATTAGATAATTCTTCAAATGATATAAAATTTTGTTTATTCTGAGTTATAATATGAACGAAATATAATGCTGTTTAAGTGAACCTAGTGCCAGAGTGTCGCTATGGTAAACAAATATAGTGAATTTTAAAGAGTGCATTTATTCTATTGTGGTTTATGTGCTATCGACGAAGTAGATTTAATTCAATTCTATAAGTTTAAATGAAATGCAAGAAAAATGCGTATAATTTAATATTCCGTACAAGGAAGTCATCTGGTGTACACATCAGATTTTTTATACACATTTTTTAAGGATAAAACTTTATTACTGATCATTATAATGAATTTATAGTGTTTCAAATGTAAAGTAATGCAAATACGAAGTAATACTTTCTGCAAATACCCAGTCTATCTGCAAAAGAACAACTTTTAATCTTCTTTGTTAAAACCCAGGCACTAATCTCCAGAATTTAATGAAGAGTCACCTGAAACTAAATCAGCATCTGAGTCTTCATACAACAAATTGTCCTCTGGTCCTGTTTCCATGTTCTTAAGCATACGCAATCACATGTAGCTTGTATGCTATCCTGTAGCAATGTTGATGTTGTTTCGAGCCATAACTTGCCAACAAATTTAAGAAAATTGAAAAGTAGAAATTTCGCCCACTGAAAAGTCATTCAAAAAAATTAGAAAGTTTAAACGGAACCAGCTGTGATAATTGATGACAGCGCATGCACATCCACTGAACTTTACATAACTGTAATATTTCCACACTCCGCAAGGAAAGAAGAAAAAAATCGTATATAATAAAAAATTGAGTATCGACGTATAAGACGCACCCCATTTTTCAGACCTATTTTCAAAGGAAAAACAGTGTGTCTTATATGCCGGCAAAGATGGTATATGTCATGATTGGTTTTGGGGGGAAGATGAAACCAAGTTCATGCTTGAGTCATGGCTGAGACGACTGGTGCAAAATTCACAACTGGCTTGGTGGTTAAAAACATCATTTTTATTTTGCACAGTAACAATTATTTAGAAATACATTGCTGCTTAAAACATTTACAACACTAGGGATGCTAAATATGCGCTGTAATTTAGATGCATGCAGTTTACATTCTAGACAATAAAGAAAGAAGACAAAGTGAGAGACATGATTTACTCAAGCAGCAGCAGCTGAGAAAAAGCAGTGCATACTCATTGCGGTCTTATTTATAGTTGGAAAGTCATTGTGTTAATCCTGAGCAGCGATTGGGATAAAGATATCGCAGCACAAAGAGATTGTAGGAAAAGAATGATGTAACATGGGCAGAGTGATGCAAAATGGTGCATAGCATATCTTTGAAGCGTGATGTGTTTATGAATTTGAAGATCTATTGCCAATTGATTCCAATTAAGTTTAATAATTTTGTTTCATATTTTATATTTTACATATATTTCAGTTTGATTACATCTGTCTTTCAATATCTGTATGCTTTAATGAAGATGCAAACCTGCAATGTGCAGCAGAATGACTCATAATTGGATAATTATATAATAAATATAGTAGCTAGCAACATATATTTCAGATATATTAAATAAACTTTATATTTTAAATGCAAATTTAAATTAAATTTTTTTTTTCATGAAAAACTCAAATAGGTGTAGTTAATGGTAAAAGCATAATAGAAACCGATTGTACAAAAAATGCTAATTTAACTTTTAATGTATAATAAATATTGCAAAATATAAATTTTCCTGTGTTATTATAATAACATGATTTTTGTTATAATGTGTCAGTTAAATATTCTTAGTCAATTGACATTTCTAAAATCAGTTCAAACTATGGAGCAGTACTACTCAAGTAAACTGTTCTAGCATTCTTTTGGTGAATGTAAAATAAACTATGTGATTTGGCATCTTAAGTGTACTGGTGATTTTTGCTAATTGCGAATTAAGCTAAAATAGTTCAAAAACACAAATATAGAATTTGTTGCGTGTGTATGGATTTGTAATAGATTGAATGCATGCAGCTCCGATGATAGGCTGGTAGAATTTAGATCACTTCAGAGATCTGAAACTTTCCACAAAAATAGTCTTTTCATATATCATAGTCTTTTCAAAAATAGTCTTTTCATATAACTTTTCATAATATCACAGAATACAACTCAAACTACTATGAACACTTCAATCTGCAGCGAATGCTAAACACAATGCAATGCGAATTGCATCTAAAGAGTGAAGCTAACTCGGAGATATCTCTATACTCCGACACACACTGAACTAACAACCCACAACAAGAACAACAACTCAGGAACAGATTTTCTCTCTGGTTCTATATAGTTTTCACCAGGCTGGCAAGATATTTCTAGTATTTTCTGCTTCGTGAAATTACTGGAAAGCGTATGAGGACCGAATTACGGTTACAGTTACACAGAACATCATTTACAGTTATTCAATTACTATATCTATTACAGTGATACAGGAACCAGTCCAAAACATCGCAAAAAAGATGCCAAATTCTGGCGATTTCTTGCCAAATTTGACAACAAAAATCAGTTGCCAAAATTGTTGCGAGCTTGGCGATATCTCGCCAAATTAGCGAGATAGCCATTTATTCAAAATTGAATAGACTTGCCCCTGTATTGTTACTCTTCTGGCAAGCTTCGCATCTTTAGATTTTCATGTTACATTTCACAAAGAAAGGGAAAAAAAAGAAGTTAAAGAAGACATTAATTTCACATATAATTTCACTAAAATTATCTATGTATGTACAAAATTTGTAATAATATTTATTATCATTTAAGTGAACACTAAAAAATAAATTTTACGTATATTATTCTGCATTATTATTGCCTTTTCTTTTTTCTTACAGGCAAGAAATCTTCTTGGGATTAATCGATGGTTCAGATAGTGTAAATCTATACATTGTGGTCACAGAATTTACTCTGATTTGTAGCATTGTAACTTATTGATCATTAAATTTATTGATGTTAGTTTTATATCTAATTATTTTAAAGTACTGTATTAAATTTTTAGCACATTATATTATCAAAAATGTATATTTTTAGAAGAAATTCATTGTGTTCCCATGCTGTGTTTTTTATATTTAAATAGCCATTGAAACTTATAAAAATGAAACAGATTTCTTAAATTTCATTTAGCAGTCTGTGTAGCCATCTTACGTTAAAATTAAAAATTGTTAAAATTTTCTACATTTGAAGAAAGAAATATGATGATCATCAACTTTTAGGGCAAGAATTAACTATTGCAACCAAAAATGGACCACTAAAAAGTTTTATCCTGCTTTGAAGAATAATCAGACACATCATACATTTGTGTGGATGATCATGTTGCGATAAAACTACTGATTATACCCAACATTTGCCACAGCAAAATTAGAGCCTAAATGATTGCCAGTACAATATTTTGGTCCAGTGAATTTGTTTTTATTGCTACAGAAAAAGTGTTTGTAGAAAAACCAACAGCAAGATATCCTAACTGTTTTGATTTGGTGAACATTTAGATTAAGCGACTGAAGTAGTATAAATGCATTCCATGGTGTAATCTGGAGCAAAGTAATTATGCTAAAAGCTGCATAAACACAATTTCTTTCTTTTTTTTTTTTTTTTTCTGTTTGTTTTTAGATCAATTCTTTATTGAAATGATAAATAGCCGTAGATTTACTTACTTTGGATTTTTAATGCATTCAAGTATTCTTGCAGGAAGCCGGGATGGTATCTCCGAGATACCATCACGGGATTTGATCCCTGGACTGGGCAAGGTTAACTCAGCCTTTTATCCTTTGAATGGGTCGATAAAATGAGTACCAAGTTCGCTTGGGGGCTGAACAATGGGCGATCTACGACCACTTGTCCAGGGCATATGCTAATGCACTCCGGGGCCCAAGATCAAGAAAGCAGATTTCGGGGCACTGCAGGGCATAGCCCACTAGGGCTACTGTGCCACTGAGTTTAGTTTTATTTCATTACTCCTCTCAAATAACAACACACTTATCTCTTAAGCATTCATTGAGTATGGCTGAACCCATGAGACATTTAGCCAGCTCATCACTGAGAGCATTGCTTAAAGTGCACGGCAGGGACACATAACATAACAACAAACAATAACACATCCACAAAGAGGGAAAGTACAAAATGTAGACAAGCTTTATATGGGTGTCTAGCCCATACCTTCAGCAGTTAATCTCTCCTAACAGCATATCTTCTAGGGTGATATCTTTAATAATTCTTAACCAGCTGCATTACAACCAAGTCGTATGTTTTTGCTTTTTATAGGACCATGTGCATATGGTATAGAAAGGCCTGTCTATTACTTATCATTTGTACCAAGCATATAATGCTCCATTGCTCACCGTTCACATAATTCCAGCTTCGTGTTTTGGGAAATGATGATGAAGTCAAACTCAAGTTTCAGATCTCGAGCAGTGAACCTTAATATAATTAAACTGTTATTTAAACTGAATATTGCTTAAATACAAAGTAAGGGGCTGTATATTTAGTTTCTCTTAGTAATTGGAAGATATTGTGGTAGAAAAGTGCAACATTTTCATCATATGTATATAATATGCTGTTTTATTTTTCATCAAATTGCTGCTGTTTTCAGGAATGTTTTTGATAATCAGACTATGTATTATACTAATGATTCATCTAAGCACTTTGTACTACTTTTTGAACTGTCTGTAATTGCATATTTTGTCAAAAATTACCTCATGAAATATCTTAAAACAGTGTACTCCTTTAGTAGATTCCTTTATTATTATAATTCCTATTTTAACAATTTCTCTTACATTCCTGAGTAAATCTTTTGATATTAAGTTTATTCATAATATATTATATATATATTATTTATTTTACAAGTATAGTTTTTTAAAATCTGTTCATTAATGTTATCTCTCAGTATTTCTCCTGTTTTTATAGTGTAATAGTTCACTCAGCGAGTCCTGAATTTAATATAAATTGCTGAAGTGAGGCCAACAAACTAGTAAGACCTATAATTTTGTTCAGTTGATTTGCAGTAATTGGATTTTTTAAATTAATTCCATGATTAGTTCAAGATTTTTAATCTATAAAAAGTCTAAAAAAATGCTACATCTTATTATTCATCTTCAGCACAGGAACACTTGCTAAAGAATGAATTCTCAGTTTGTTTGATCAGTTACCAATTTTATTTTTGGTGTTCTTTCTACTGTGAATTTATTTATCTAAAACAATAAATATCACTGTTAGTGGTATAATTACTAGAACTAAAAAACTAAAGGCAAAAGAATTAATTTGGTCATATTATTTTCATTATAAAATAATTTCATTTGAATCAGTTATTTTTTTCTCCATTAGGATGCTCCATGAATAATTATATTTTTCAGAAACTAATTTAAGTCAGAATTTGATTATAATTTTCATTTTGTAAAATGTAAGGAATTTGAGATCTAATGTAAATAAGAAAGTAATGTCTAAACACTTTAATTAAACTTTTATGCATTACTGAAAAATACAAGTATATTCTGTATAAGAGAAAGAATTGCAAATAATCTCTCCCTCTCTCTCTATATATATAATGAAAGAATAATGCAAAATAAATTTAAAAATAGTACATTAAAATTCTTCTCATGTTCATTTCAGAATAAACATATGCACAAAAAAAAAATAACAGAAGTACAGTGGGAAACTGCAAAAAAGAGGAGAAAAAAACATGCCAAAAACAAAAATGAAATAAGAAATTTACATTTTTTCTGCATTGTAATTAAGGGGTGGGTGCAACAAAAGAAGTAAATAAAATTAAAATGAAGTTATTGGTTTATCATAATTCTCATACCTAAATACCGATAACGATGCACTTACATCAATTATTAAAATTTCTTCTGCAGAATTTCTAAAGACAATCTTAAGAGGAATAATAACTTAAAGTATATTATTTCTCTTAAGATTACCTTCGTAAGCATTTTATATTATTTCTGTTTTTTAAGGATTTTTATATTGCAAGTGTGTGTTACATCAGCATTGTATTTCATTTCATAAATGTGAAAATGAACAAGCAAAGAAAACTTTATGGCCTCTACTTTTCTGCATGTAACTATTATGCCCCAGTAAATTGTAATACCGTAGAATTTTCATTTTGATGCTATACCATCTTTATTATATAACTATATGTAAACTAGAAGTAATATGAACATAAAAGCTTTTGAAGAAAGATGTTACAAAATAATAGTGAAAAATGCAAGTATAACTCTTATTATTTACTCGTAGAAATCATATTATGAATTACTTATGGTATCAGGTGATTTTTGTCTTTTGTGGAGGAGTTGCTATAAGAAATATACTACCTGATATTGAAAATGCAACACAATGAAGGAGTGGCCCAAATATTATGCAAATTTCAGGGTAGGCACATGTGAATGATGTGAAATGCTCAGCTCTCCAGCACACATTGAAGAAGATATAAGGGAAAGAACCTGCAAAATGTTCAATTTTTGTGCTGTCATTTCTGCCATGGAAATCATTTGCAGACCCTACCATTGTTGCGTTCAGAAGACAAACTTTGGCAAATGGTTGACAGGGAATGTAGAGCCATTTCTCAGGACACCATCTGTACTCTCTATGACTTTGTACCTAGACGTGTTACTTCTTGTATCGCCGTCCAAGGTGGTCCCACAACTTACTGAGTCGACACTGTTCTTGCTGTATATTATGCATATCATTTCAAAATAAAGCTCACTTATTGTTCATTGCAGTCTTTCACTGTTTGTCGAGTTTCATCATTTTCTGGCCGCTCCTTCTTGGTGTTGCATTTTCAATGTTGGGTAGTGTTTAATCATTGATGATGCTCATCATCACTTAATATTTTTAAAAGAATTCTGGCCTGTTTCATAAGTTAGTCACTATGTAAGATTCTAGTGTAATTCATTATTAGTAAATAATTTTCACATTTATGAAATGAAATATAACGCTGAATGTAACACACATTTGCAATATAAAACATTTTGAAGCTTTTCATATGAGAATTACCATAAAACAAAGAGTTTAACTTTATTTTAATTTTAATTACATTTTAAAAGTAATTCAAATAAACATACTTCTCATTTCATTTATACAGTGAAAATTGTTCATGAAACACGAAACTGAGGGGACTGAAATATTTTTTCGTGTTGAAGGATATTGCAAACATTATATATATTCAACAAAATTAAGTTTATTAGAGTACATTTTATTTACATACATATATAGCCCACCAGCGGCTGAGCGGTAAAGTCGTTTAACACTGGTAGTTCGGTCCGAGGTTCGAGTCCCGCGAACGGGCTGGCTGAATGGGCGTTTTCATGGTTTCATTCTCAGAAGGGAAATCTTTTCATGTTAAGCGATTTTCGTTTCATGTTAAGATAAAAACAATGCATGAAAATACATAGTAGTTTGTTGGGACTCTTGTATTATTTTGTGTTAACCGACATTTCGTCTTCGGCGTTTTCACGTTACGCGTATTTCATTATATCGTTTATGGTAATGGTACTAATAAATATGAACAAAATATTTCTCTTCCAAGATTATAACTTGGTAAAGTATATTATTTATCTTAAGATTGCCTTCAGAAATTCTGCAGAAGAAATTTCAATAGTTAATATAAGTGCATGGTTGAAATGGTTTGTTTATAAAAGCTCAACATGAATTAGTGTTCTGTTTTGTTTAAATTGAATGTTATAGAGCATATGAGGGCTATCTACCTAACAGGGGAAATGGTGGAGACTGTGAAAAGAAATTTCTCATGTTTACATTACATACAGTTCCCCCTCCTTATATAATATAATGTAAGTATGAGACATTTTGTAGGAAACCCCATGCAGCTAGCCTGTTCATCAGGCTTCAACTAATGTTCAGTAGTCTTATTTAATTGGCCGCTGTTACGCTTAATTTGCTTCCTTCTGCGTTTTAATGTTCTTTTATATGCTATATATTTGTTTTTTTTTTATATAGAAATGGTAATG